ACTGCTTGAGTTTATTTTGTGGCAAGACCAACCATTGTTGTTTACTTTGTGTCAAGACCAACCATTGTTGTTTATTCTTTAAATGCTGGTGCTTTGTTGTTTCTGCTTGTAATAATTTCCTGCTGGTTCTTTCTCAATATCGGCCTATCTGAATGGGCTCTTCTGATTTTGGGAAATTGTCTTTCCTTTGAATAGAGATGGCACGGCGTGATAGGCATAAGATGAAACGAAGGCAAAGATGGGTTTGGGGTTCAATTGCTACTGCAATTACTCTTGGCACAGCGGCCTTGGTGTGGTCTTACCTGCCAACAGACAAAGCATCACCTTCTCCTAGTAGTTCCAGTGCTCCTGATCATGATGATTGTGCCAAGTGATAACATTCTACTAAGAATGGCTATGATGACATAGCATCATAAATGAGAGTTAGAATAAAAGGTTGTTTGTTCTGCGTTTTGTATAGCAATCCGCTGCTTTTGTTAGCAGTTCTTTCTTTCATTCCATGAGACATCAGGGGATGTATAGTACCATCAAAATATATAGAAATGTGTAAGAACTATTTTTGACTTCGCAGCAATGGTCTTTCCATGGGAACGAGTAGGATTTAAGGTGGGAGCAATGTGGGCAAGTGATACTGGATTCTTTCATTATTATTACAGAATATTGTTTTACAGTCTGTCTTATAAAATTATTTAAATATTTTTTAACAAATAATATAAAATAGATTTTAAAGACATTTAAGTAATTTTATAAAATAAATTGTACACAGTTTATTCTGTGAAATAGTTTTTTGTTATTATTATTATTATTATTATTTTGAGTATACATGAGATTATGCAAAACCACAAGCTCAAGCAGCCTTAGGATTCATGAGTCAGCATGTGAGCTTGCAAACCTTGGAACACACCCTGTGGAGTGTTCTCAAACACATTAGACCTGGATCAAGATAATAGACCTCTAGCCAGGACACCTGCACTAGCGTTGGCTTCCCATACACATGGCAAATATGGTAGAAAATTGCTTTTATTATTATTATTATTTTTTTATCTAAGAAAACTTATTTAAGAGGGAAATAATTTGGATGGATACTCTTGTTTAGTGTGAGTCTGTGAAAACTAAAC